ATATATATGTATATCATGCATCACACGAGTAAAATAACTTGTTGAAAGAAAAAGTCATGAAGGGATTGCATCGCATTTGGAGAACTCTTTTTTTCCCCTTCTTGTGTGTGTAGTGATTGCACTGGTATAATCATTATCGTGGCACCACTTGAAAGGTTATATTAAAATGATAGTCATAGCTCCAAGTTCCTACAGAAATGGAGCACAAGCATAACAATAATAAAGCCTCCAAACAGAAACACGAACACTTGTGTTCTTGGCTGAGAGGAACTTCTTCTGATAACGAATGGTGGATAGTGGTGGATAGTAAGGATATGCAGATGAAATTTTCACTTTAATTAATTTATTAGTATAATATATATATTTAAAAATATTATATTTTATATTTCTTAAATTTATATATTGAACTTACTAATAATTATTTTTGACATTTATATTTTATTTTTTATATATACATGATTATGATTATTATTTTCTTTTTATAAAAAAAAAAAACCTGTTCTCGCTAACCCGGTATCTTGGATCTATCACAGGTGGTGGACCAACCTCATCAATTTTCTTTCTTCTTTCCTTTTCACTTCTTTCTGGCTCCAATAGTTCAATCTCTATTGTTTCCAAAATTAAATTAAAGTATCCCTAAATTCTGAATAATATTCTAATGGGAGGCCTTTTATTTTTTGGTTTTAATAATTCAATATGTCCAAAAGTTGATAGTGATACTTATAAACTAAAACCTTTAAGACACAATAAAAATGGCTAGCATTCTATTAATAAAGTAGATAAATATTGAGTTAATCACTTATACATTGTTAATATAAAGTTTTTTTATATTAATAACCAATTATATTTTTTAATAGTGTTATATTAATTGTTTATTTAATAAAATAAAAATAAAATAAAATAATTTAAAAGATATGATTGGTTATCAATGTAAATTACACTGGCAATGTATGGATGATTAACTCATAAATATTTTACATTTTCTTTTTCATTCCAATCACATGCGGTACCGTGCCAAGTTTTAAGCTCCAAGAGAGGAATAGAGACAGATCGAACTCAGGTGAGTGATAGATGAAAATTTCTATGCAAATTGCAGTTAAATGGGCCAACTAGAGTTCAAACTTTATTGGGCTTTATAAAAGATTAATTTCAGATAAACATTTAATTCCTGAATTCCTGGCCCGGGTCTATGTTACATACATATATATATATATATATATATATATATATTTATTTTAAGATAAATTTTATAATAATCTTCATACAGATTCAAAATTGATAAATTAATACTACCAAGCGGATAACTAATGAGAGATTGTTTCATGGAGAAAACACTTGTATATAATTCCTTATTTCTATCTTTCAGTAATGAAAAATAGAGTTTTATGTAATTTGTATAATTCTTTAATGTAAATTTTTATTACGCAGATTATTGAAGCAAAATTTAATTCAAGCTTAATTGCAAAACAACATAAACAATATCTTTGAAACTGTATCCTGTATCCCAGTTTTATTCTTATTATAGTTTAATTGATGATTTCAAGTTTAATATCTGAATTTGCTTCAAAAAATTTTAATATCTGAATATTGCATTTACATTAAATAATTTGTGAGAGAACTGTGTTTGTCCATAGTAATTTTACATGATTTGAAGTATACAGAAAAATAAATATAACATACGGTTTAGAAAGACAGTAAAACAGAGCTATTTTAATTATATTTCTTTCTTTTAAACAAAACTGATATACTTTTATGGTAAAAGTTTTTTTTAAAATTATCCAACCTCATCAATTTTCTTTCTTCTTTCCTTTTCACTTCTTTCTGGCTCCAATAGTTCAATCTCTATTGTTTCCAAAATTAAATTAAAGTATCCCTAAATTCTGAATAATATTCTAATGGGAGGCCTTTTATTTTTTGGTTTTAATAATTCAATATGTCCAAAAGTTGATAGTGATACTTATAAACTAAAACCTTTAAGACACAATAAAAATGGCTAGCATTCTATTAATAAAGTAGATAAATATTGAGTTAATCACTTATACATTGTTAATATAAAGTTTTTTTATATTAATAACCAATTATATTTTTTAATAGTGTTATATTAATTGTTTATTTAATAAAATAAAAATAAAATAAAATAATTTAAAAGATATGATTGGTTATCAATGTAAATTACACTGGCAATGTATGGATGATTAACTCATAAATATTTTACATTTTCTTTTTCATTCCAATCACATGCGGTACCGTGCCAAGTTTTAAGCTCCAAGAGAGGAATAGAGACAGATCGAACTCAGGTGAGTGATAGATGAAAATTTCTATGCAAATTGCAGTTAAATGGGCCAACTAGAGTTCAAACTTTATTGGGCTTTATAAAAGATTAATTTCAGATAAACATTTAATTCCTGAATTCCTGGCCCGGGTCTATGTTACATACATATATATATATATATATATATATATATATTTATTTTAAGATAAATTTTATAATAATCTTCATACAGATTCAAAATTGATAAATTAATACTACCAAGCGGATAACTAATGAGAGATTGTTTCATGGAGAAAACACTTGTATATAATTCCTTATTTCTATCTTTCAGTAATGAAAAATAGAGTTTTATGTAATTTGTATAATTCTTTAATGTAAATTTTTATTACGCAGATTATTGAAGCAAAATTTAATTCAAGCTTAATTGCAAAACAACATAAACAATATCTTTGAAACTGTATCCTGTATCCCAGTTTTATTCTTATTATAGTTTAATTGATGATTTCAAGTTTAATATCTGAATTTGCTTCAAAAAATTTTAATATCTGAATATTGCATTTACATTAAATAATTTGTGAGAGAACTGTGTTTGTCCATAGTAATTTTACATGATTTGAAGTATACAGAAAAATAAATATAACATACGGTTTAGAAAGACAGTAAAACAGAGCTATTTTAATTATATTTCTTTCTTTTAAACAAAACTGATATACTTTTATGGTAAAAGTTTTTTTTAAAATTATTACCCGTCATGTTATATCAATCAAAGTGTTTAAATATAATAATAATAATAATAATAATAATAATAATAATAATAATAATAATAATAATAATAATCTATTAAGTGATATTTTAATCATTTTAAAAATAATATAATAATGTGATTTAAAAAACAATAATTATAAATTAATGTTAAAATTATTGACTTTCACAATTGAATTTTTGTTGTTGTTGTTAAATATACATATTAATTGGACGAATTTATTGAAAAGTTATCCAACGAATTAAAAAAAAAGTAGTAAGTGAAATAAAAAAATATTAATAAAAAATATTAATAATAAAAAATTAATAAATTGTCAATGATAAAATTTTAAAAATTAATATACAATTTTTTTTATGAGCGATTACACACAAAATACGTCAGTTAATCATGGAGACCTAAATATTTTATTTTGGTCTGTCTGTTAGATCTTAATATTCGAAGCATGGATGATGGAACGGAAATTTGGGTTTAACAAAATGAGCCCAACGTAAAATTGACCCAGAGTTAAGTACCAGAAATGTATGCAACCAAAACCTAAATGACAACATTATTTTATTTTGGATAAATTTAAGATAATAATTTCATTTTTGTAAATAACAGATTTATTACATGATATTCGCAATTTATTTCTATTTTTATTGTCATTATTATAATCAGGTTTAAACTCGCCTGTCTTGTAAATTACTAAAAAAATTCAGTACTAACCAAATCATATTGACTTTGACTGTGCAAATTTAAATGACAAATTTATGTATCTGGTCATGTTTGAATTAATACCATTTTTCTTATCTCTATTATCTATAATTCTTTTTCAATTGGTAATTATTTATTTTTCATTTTTTTTACACTAAGAATACCTTATAATTGATAGTAGAAGAATAATTAATTATGAGGAATAAAATTTATTCAAGTGTTGTCTTTTGCAACAAAGTCTCATCCATGTAGCCAATTCGCACTCGGCCTAAGATTCAACTCGAGAGCCCTAAGCTCTTCCACG